CCCTCTACCCTGGCATTGCCCTGTGGAGGGGCAGGGAGAGGGGAGCAGTGAGACCTCCCTGAGGAAGGACCCAGCCTGGTTCCCTGGCGATGTGGATGGTGGCAGTGTCCCAGGCAGTGACACCGGTGGTGGGCAGGCCAGCTCCCGGCCAGGGCACAGGGGCTGGAGGGCTGGGGCTGGTAGCTGAATCAGTAGTTTGTTCTCCTCTGAAGGCCCCTTTCTGCCCTGGCTCCCTTTGTTTCTCTTAGGAAAGTTTTATGTCTCTTGTGTCACAAGGAGCCTTTTCTTTGTCACCCTTCCCGAGCGTGCCAGGGAGGAGGCTGTGCTGGAGCACTGCCATCCCTGACGGCAGCTCGAAGCCAGATCCTGCACAGGGCTGCGAGGTGCAGGGAGCAGCTTTTGGGAGTAGCTGTGTCACAACACTGGAACTCTTGGCGGGGCTCACCTCCTCAGGCCACTCACAGCCTGGGGTTCACCCCTCCACCCACACCCTTTAAAATGTAGGATGCTTTGCAGTCCCTGAGCATCTCCCCAGGGACACCCAACATGTCCAGATCTGCTGCAGCCCCTGGTGTTCCTGTGCTGCCAGTCCCAAGGGTGTCTCAAGGATGGTTCCCAATTTACAAAGCTGCTCTTCAGCCCAGGACACCCAGGGAAGGATCCATCCTCCTTTATTGCTATTTCTCAGCCTGGTTTCAGCTCCTTCACCCCTTGCAGAGGCCACGTCAGGGTGGGGAAACTGAGGCATAGAGTGGCAGCAATTTGTCAGCAGAGGTTGAGGGGTTGAACACCTTTTCCATCACTCAGTGTCCATACTCAGACTCCTTCCACAGTTACCCTGGGGCATGGAGCAGTGTTTCATCCCTGACAGGGATCTCAGCTGTGAGAGATAAGAGAGAATTTTATCTGGTTTATAAAAGTCATCCCCAAAATACAGACCAAAACACTTCCAGAGCTGTTAGCTGTTCTCTTGGGACCATGGGAGAGACAGAGATTGGCTCCCTCCAAGGCATTGTGGGGGATCTGGGGGCTTCAGCTCTTTGGTGTAGCCCCTGCAGTGTCATAGACTGTTCCCAGCTTGGCTCAGGTGATGGATGGCTCCAAAATGGATCTGCTTCAATGCTGGAGATGCTCCAGTGACCCCTCTGGGTCATGGAAATGGGGACATGAAATGAGACCAGGCTCCAGGTCCCTGTTCATTTCTGGCTGCTAAAATCGCACATGTGGGATGGATTTGGACACGGGGCTGAGGAAGCAGCTTAAGCTCCGGGCACAACAGATGCCTCTTTGAGGAAGATGCCTTCAGGGATGTGCTGGCTTGTGTTTGTCCTGGGATGAAGGACACAGCTTGTCCAAGGTCCGTGTCATTTTCTTTCAATGTGAACACCCACATCTCTGTGAATGGCATCATCTGAAGGGATCAGAAACAACCTTGCCTCTGGGATTAGAGGTCTTTAACTCAGGGAAAACTCAAGTTCCACCTCAAGACCTGAGCTCTGGAGACAGCTGGGATGAGCATCCTCCCCTTGGCTGGGAGGTGAACACCTCTGGCTGCCCAGGAGGCTCAGCCCTGGCACTCATGCAGGGGTCTGCTGCCCACAGCACTGCTGCAGCTGCTCCAAAATATCCTCTGGTGCTAAAATACCTTGTGCACCTGCTGCTTTCCACTACCATGAGACCTAACAATCCTAAGCTGGTACCTGGGGAAGTGATGGGGCCAAAAACTCACCCAGCAGGTGAAAGTCCCCCAATTAAAGCATCAGGTGCAAGTTCCTGGTGCTCATGTTACCTGGAGGGTGAGCAGCAGCTGGTTCCCGAGAGCTGTTCCTGGGTTACATTGAAGGAGAAAGTTGTTTCCCTTTTGAGCTAATTGCGAAGGAGCTGCTGGGTGTAACTGGGTCAAGCCATGACCTGCTTTAGCTGGGCAGAGAGGTGGCAGGACGCCAGCGTGACACAGCATGACGGGGGGCTCGCCTGCTCCCCTGCCATGGTGACACATGGGGCACACACCAGGGGCACTCAGTTCTGGGGGCAGAGCTTCAATGGGGTAAAATCAGTTAGGAGGCAAAGGAAGAATTATTTGGGAAGAAGAATGGGCTGAATCTTGCCCAGGAATGGTTTTAGTTTGTGCTGGCTGGGGATGGATGAGTAGGGGGCAGTGGCTCCTCCTGGGGCTGCTGGCACAAATAGGGACTTGGTGGGAGCCACTTTAATTTATCCCTTTGGTGGCATCCCTGGGTGTGGGATCCCAGTCCAAGGGTCCAGCTGGTGACACAGTGTAGGGAAGTGGGACTGCATCCACATTTCCCCTCAGCCATCCCCCAGGAAGCCCCTGGCATCTCCAGAGCAGGGTGAAGCCCGAGGAGGGCTCAACCATGCTCAGCTGGAGGCAGCAGAGCGATGGGTGCCCTCGGAGATACCCAAGGTGTGTGTGGTGGGAAAAGGACTGCTCCAAGCCTGGTTCCCAGCAGGAACTGGCATCTCCTGAGAAACCTTTCTTTCACAAGAAAGAAATTCAAAGTGGAAAAAAAAATCTGGAAAATCAGGTTACAGCCCTGATGCCACGTGCCCAGGGCAGGGCAGGAGGGGTGCTGCATGCTGGTGGTGCTCAGTGGGTGCCAGGGAAAGTAAGGTTGTAGCATGAAACTAGATGAAGTTTTTTTCACTCTGAGTTGGTTGAGGAGGATCTTGGGACAGGTTTTGTGGAGTCGGGGCAGATGATCTCCCACTGTGTTAGGAGAAAATGCACCAGCAGCAGCCCCTGGGGCGGGAGACATTTGTGTGAGGGACCTTGGGGTGAAATGGGTGAGTTGGGAGTGATGGTTTCACCACTCATGTCCATAAGGCTGGAGCTTTGCTGGCTCTTCACCCCATCCTGGGCATCCTCATGTCTGTGAGGAGGAAGGTCCTCTTATCCCTAGAAGTGTTCAAGGCCAGGTTGGACAGGGCTTGGAGCACCCTGCTCTAGTGGAAGGTGTCCCTGCCCATGGCAGGGGGTTGGAATGAGATGCTTTGTAAGGTCCCTTCCAACCCAAACCATTCCATGGTTCTATGAAGGTCAACCCTGTTTGTGTTTGCAGGAGGTATTTTGCTCAAGGCTTCAAACTGCTCTGCCCGCAGGCACAGCACTCCTGGGGCATGGGGCTGCCTTAAGGAGAAGGGAAAAAAGTGCAGAATTGGGGTTTGTAAGCACGGATTGTGGGACACAGACCAGGAAAAGGCTCAGGTGCTGCTGATATTCACAACTGGATTGGGAGCACTGTGCCCCCGGGAATGAGCTGGTCTTCAGCTGGGTGCTGAGCTCTGGCCACTGCACTCCCAGGAGTGACCTTTGGCACAGGGAAAGGCCGGCCTGGCTCCTGCTGCCCACCTTGCAGCACCCTTGGGTGTGGGCTGGTGCCAGCACAGGGCCCCACACTGGGGACTGTGGTTGCCCCCCCAGCTGGATACAGATCTATGTGCCCCCATGGGAGTGGTAGAGCCCCCATGCCTGCCTCCATCCCACACCTTGCAGTGACTCAAGGATGGATCTGTCCCAGAGACCCCCAAGAGCCTGTCCCAGTGCTGCCTCCACCCACCGGTGCCCTGGCCTGGGGCCATGACCACAGTGAGCAGAGGCAGAGACAGCTCAGTTGGCGTATGGGGAGAGAGAAAAAGCTCCTGGGTGTTTCAAAAGCTTCAGTGAGGGCAAGCCCAGGGTATCAGTTCCCTCTGCCCCTTAATCAAAACTGCCTTGGAAAGACCTTTGTAGCTCCTGGCTGGTGCTGGAGTCAGTGCTGTGATTCCTTGATCTCATCCGCTGCATCAGCCCTTCTCCCCGTGACCTATGGCTCCCTGATCAAGTGATTCAGCTCATGTGGGTCTGGAGAAAGGGAATTTGAGTGCATTCATCCCAGCACTGCCTGCGGCAGGGACGTGGTCACTCCTGCTGGGGGGAGAATGTGGGGCATGGCTTGGTCCTTTCAGATCCCCAAAAGCCTGAGGGGAGCAGGGCTCAGGGCACCTTGCAGTGGGGAAGAGGCTAAACAGGGTGGTTTGGGACATTTTTGGACTTTGTTCATCCCCTCCGCCGGGAGATGCAATGGGTGCAGGGCTGGGGCTGGGTGCTGTTCCCATCAGGGTGCCCCTGCACCTCAGGGCTTACCAAGAAACCTTTCCAGCTCTGGAGAAGCCCCATCTCAGCCAGGTGGTTTGGCAGAGTGGGTGTGTGTGGGCGTACCTGGGCAGCTGCATTCTCCAGTCTGCCAGGAACAGCCTCGGTGGGCTCCGGCACAGCCCCGAATGCACTCGCTGGACCCTCTTGTGCTCACTGCACTCACCCAACACTAAAGCAGCTTGGGGCAGAGGAACCCCCACCACGGGTGGCCAACCTGGAGCGGATGGTCCTCCCTAGAATGGCCAGGAACCTCAAAAAACATCTTCTCCCCTCCCCAGAGGTTTTCCTTCAAGGGGGCTGAACAAAACCACACTGGAGCAACATGCAAAATGTGTGTCCCAAGAGATTTGTGGCACCTGGCGCCTGTGGGGCTACAGCTCCCCGTCTTTTCTAGAGATCACTCCATCTCCTGAAGAAAACCTTTTTCTTTGAGTTTTGAGGCTTTTCCTGAAGAGCTGAAGGTGGGAGGTGGTTGTAGGCAGAGCTTTGCTCCATGGCTGATTTCCTGGCTGAGCTCTGCTCTGCCTGCCCAGGCAAACCCTGTGAGAGTGATGAGCTCCTCCACTCACTGTGACCATGCCAACATCCCTGTCACCAGTGTTAGCAAAGATGGCTCTGCCTGACCCTGGATGCTTTGGATGGGATGAGGGGGTTGCTGAGACCCCATTCTCATCACATGGAGCAAGACACCAAGGCAAGGGGACACAGAGCACAGTCTGAAGGGTGGTGCCAGGAGGGGTCACCAAGGGGGCAAGATGAGAGTGGGAGCATGGAGAGGTGGGGTAGGTGGCACTGTGTGTGGGGATGTTGGGGAGGTGGAGGGCACTCCATTGTGGGGGTGGGACACAGACACCAGTAGATGGGGTCACAAAGCTGGTCCTCTGCCACTAGAAGGTGCCACAGGAGATGGTCTCAGGTGACAAGAAGTTGGTCTTCGATGGCCAGGAGACAGTCTTGGATGACCAGGAGGTGGTCCTAGGTGGCCAGGAGGTGGCCTCAGATGTCTGGGAGATGGGCTTGGGTGGCCAGGGGACAGTCTTGTTTGACCAGGAGGTGGTTTTGGGGACCAGGAGAAGGTTTTGAGTGGCCAAGAGGGTCCTGTCCTGCCTGTGGTGCAGCCTGACCTGGTGAGGGTCTGTGCCCATATGTCGTTACTGAAGAGACCTGCCACAGGGACTTGGGGATGTAGGGATGGGCTGCATAGGCTCCCTGGGGGAGGACATCACATACGCCCTGGCCCTGTTGGAGGACATTATGTGTGTCCTCACCCTGGAGGTTGGGATGCAGTGTCCTCCTCCTGGGGTGGGGACAGGCAGCACCCACAGCCAGTGCAGACCATGACCAGGGTCTGGTGTGCCCCCCCCCCCATGCTGTGCTGGGCAGTGACCATCCCTCCTCTCCCTCCACAGCCTTGCCAGCAGCTGCCTCTCCAGGATGAACAGGATGGCCAACGTCAGCTCCAGTGGCCGCAGCCACTACCCCTCCGCCATCCCAGTGCCCCGTGCCATAACCCATGGCAAGCTGCACACAGCAGCCCCCCCGAGCACCCCAGGGTCCCCCGTCCCCCACAGGGCTCTGTCCCCCTGGCCAGGGACGGTGCCAGCCCCCAAGACCCTCAAGCCCAAAGGCACTGACAGAGCTGCCAGCCGTGAGGCAGCCAAGAGCAGGGAGGGAAGCCCCAGTGTCCCTCTTGGTGGCAGGCAGAAAGCCCTGGCAAGACCCTTGGTGTCCCCTGGGAAGCGTCCAGAGGCAGTGGGCAGCGGGAGGAGAGGGGCAGGCAGGGTGGGGGAGCCCATGGAGCTGCCCAAAGCTCCATCAGCACAGGGCAGGGCTGGGGGACGGCCGGAGGGGTCCCCTGGGAAGGGCAGCGGAGCGGCCGTGGCAGGGACAGGGGATGAGTCCCATGGTGGCTCACAGGGGAGGGGCCCCATATTTGGGTCAGGGGCCATCACCTTCTCCTCGGGCCCCCTGCACAGCCACCCCGTCACTGCCACCGTGGCACCCTTCCACTACCGGTGAGTGCTTGGAGATGGGGAGGTGTGGGGGCAGAGACACGTGGGGGCGGGGGGGCATGGGGACAGGGAATGGGGGGCTGTAGGGGAGGATGGTGGCAGGGGGACACAGTGGCAGGGAATGGTGGGGCTGTGGGGGAGCCTGGAGACAGGGGGACATGGGGCTGGGGGGGTATGGGGACACGGGGAGGCTGGTAGGGACGGTGGGTGTGGTCACGGGAAATGGAGGGGTTGGGTCTGGGGACTCTGAACCAAAAGGTGAGTTCCCACTGAACTTGGGGTGCTAGGGGTTCCTGGGGCACCCGTGGGAGCTGGTGAGGGGCAGGGGAAGGATTCAGTGGGGAACAGGGTGCCCTGGGACCCCACTATTATGAGACCAGTGTCCCCAGACCCTGGCAGAGCCCATGGCATCGTGTTCCCATCTCCTGGGGGTTCCCAGCTGGCTGCACACCGTGATGTGCCCCTGCTTCCCCACCCTCATTCCCCTCTGCCCCCAGGCTGCAGGAGAACCGGGAGCAGGAGAGGGCCACGTCCTCAGGCGAAGAGTGTCCTGGTCCTGCAGAGCAACCTGGCCGCGACCCCAAACCCAGAGGCCTGAGTGAGTCCAGGGGGGTTTCCCGGGAATGGTGGGGGGGTCCTGCCGGTGCCAGAGGGCAGAGGCTCGTGCTGGACAGGAGCCAGGACTGGAGGTCGGTGGGGCGGCGGGAGGAACCCCCACACTGGAGGTGCCCCAACTCCCCTGGGAAGGGCTCGGCTGCAGTTCCCGCATTCTGTGTAGGCCAAAACCCTACACAGCGGGGGGCACAGGGGACTGAATCCTGCGGGGACGACGCCGGGACATCACTCCGCTTGGCTCCTTTCCCTCCTCTTCCCAGTTTCCCAGCGAGCTCCAGGAATGACCCATTTCTAAGGAGCCGGCGCGGGGGCGGGTGCCGCGGCACTGCTGGTTCCTCACACCCACCGCCGGATCACCCCCTTTCCCGAGGGCTGAATACGAGCTCCCCGCTGCAATGTTGGGGACACCCCAGTCCCCTCCGGCTCTTGCTTCGGGGGGAGATTTTGGGGCGGTTCCTGGAGGGATGCTGGGGCGGCGGTTGCCAGGGCAGCGGCAGCGGAGGATGGCGGGATGCTCCAGGGATGTGCAGGGACGGGGAAAAAAGAGAGCCAGGAGGTTCGCCGGGTGATTTGAAGGGACAGAAGTCGGTCAGAGATGAGGTGGCTCCAGACAGAGCCCGTCTTTGACGCGGGGGCCCGGCACCGCAGCCAGAGGATAAGGGGGTTCAGCGCTGACCCCCGATTTGGGAAGCGCTGAAACCGGGGGCGAGCGGGAGGGTGTTCCGGGAGGAAGCAGGAGGGAGTAAGCGGGGCTGGCATGCGCCCAGCGCAGCTGCCTGAAGACCTTCGGGAGGTTTTGGGATGAGGCCGAGCGGGTTTGGCGCTGGGGAAGGGGCCGGCTCCTTTCCTTCCCTCCAGTCACCGCGGCCCGCGGCACCTCCCGGGGCTCCGTTGGACCCAGCCAGAGGGTATACGGGACATTGGGAGGCCCCAAGGGTCACTCCCTCAGCCCCAAAATGACACAGCACCGGCAGATTTGCCCCCCACAGAGGGCCCTTCGGGGTGCAGTTTGTGCAACCATCCTGCCCCAGCAGCACCTTTTGGTGCAAAACGTTGTTTTTTTTGGCCACCCTTTATCGTCCCATTCATGCTGCGTTATTTTGGGACTCCTCAGCAGTACCACGGGCTGAACCCCCGAACACCCTCCCGGGGGTGGGCTGGGGGGCACGCGCCGCCCCCGGCCCTCCCGTCCTTATCTCGGCAGCAGCGATGGGCTCTAATGCAATATTTCCCGGCGGTTGCCATGGCAGCCCGCGTGAGGTCACCAAATAGACTTAATTCACCCCTTCCGAGGGACGGGTAATTAATGAAAAATGATGATAACCAGATCCCACTCCCCCTCTTTCCCCCCCCTTAATTCCCCTGGATCACTGAAGAGGAACCACTGTGTTTGGGGACCACGATGTCCCTCAGGGGGCTCCTGGGGGAGAGTGAGCCCAGGCTCTTCCCACACCATTTGGGGTGAAATGGGGACGTTTCCCCCCCCCGGGGATGGGTGTGCAGTGTTAGCCTGGATGTGGGGTCCGTGTCAGGCGAGACAGGAGGTGCTTCAAGACAGGGCGCTGGGGCGTGGGACCCCACCCCTCTGGCTTCACACCTCTGCCATCGGGCACCCGGCACACCCCTGCCTGCGAGGGGCTGCGGGACGGGCTCGGTGCGGGGGGCAGCCCCCGACGGCACCCACGGGTGCACCCAGCACCGCGCCTGCCAGCTTCGAACCTCGCCCCCCGGGTTCCCGTGTCACCCTAGGGACCCGCACAGATCCAGTGCTCCGGGGGGTCCCACTCGGTCCCTCCGCCCCCGGGGTCCCGCTCCCCGGGGTCCCGCACTGTCCCGGGGTCCCGCACTGTCCCGGGGTCCCGCACTGTCCCGGGGTCCCGCTGCCCCGGGGTCCCGCACTGTCCCGGGGTCCCGCACTGTCCCGCGGGTCCCGCACTGTCCCGCGGGTCCCGCACTGTCCCGGGGTCCCGCACTGTCCCGCGGGTCCCGCACTGTCCCGCGGGTCCCGCACTGTCCCGGGGTCCCGCACTGTCCCGCGGGTCCCGCACTGTCCCGCGGGTCCCGCACTGTCCCGGGGTCCCGCACTGTCCCGCGGGTCCCGCACTGTCCCGCGGGTCCCGCACTGTCCCGGGGTCCCGCACTGTCCCGCGGGTCCCGCTCCCTCCCGGAGCTCCCGTTCGGGTCCCGCCGCCCCGGGGGGTCCTTCCCGCCCCTCCCACCCCCGGCGCGCGCCCCCGCCCGGCCCCGCCCCTCGGCGCGCGCCCCCTCCCCTCCCTCCCTCCCTGCTCGCGCCGCGGCCCCGCCCCCCCGTCCGCGCCAGAGGAGGGCGGGCCCTTTTTGTTCGCCCCTGACATTCCGCTGGTTCGCAGTGTCCTGCCGGCGGCGGAGCGGCGAGGTGGGGCCGCGCCGCTCACCCGCCCCCCACTCCCCTCCCGGCCCGCGCCATCCCCGCCCTGCTCCGCCTCGGCCGGTGGGGCGGGCGCTGACGGCGCCTCTCCCTCTTGTCTCGCCCGGTGTGTCCTCGGTGCCGCAGCGGCAGCAGCAGCGCCCGGCGGGTTAAATGATTGCAGCGCGGGGATGCTGGGGAGCAACCTCAAGAGCCTTCCCGACGTGGAGCTGGGCGAGGAGGAGCGCGGCTACCGGCGGGGCCCCGACGGCGGCGCCGTGATGCCGAAGCGGGCGAAGGCGGCGGCGGCCGCGGGGCCGCGGGGCGCGGAGCTGCGCGTCTTCAAGGCGAGCAGCGCGGAGGGGCGGCTGCCGGCCGGCTCCAACCTGCGCAAGCAGAAGTCGCTCACCAACCTCGCCTTTCTCACCGACGCCGAGAAGAAGCGGCAGCTCTACGAGCCCCGCTGGAGCGACGACATGGCCAAGGCGGCGGCGCCGGGGGCGGCGGCGGCGGGGGGCGGCGGGCGCGGCGGCCCCCGCGGGCGGGACGCGCCCGCCATGTCGCGAAGCCTGTCCCGCTCCGAGCACTCGCTGCTGTCGCCGCGCCCCGCCGGCCCTGCCAAGCCGCCCCCCGCCGGGAAGCCGAGCCGCATCCCCCGCGGGCCCTACGCCGAGGTGAAGCCCCTCAGCAAGGCCCCCGAGGCGGGCGGCGGAGGTGGCGGCGGCGGCAAATGCGACGACGAGCTGCTGGGCGGGAAGGGGCCGGCGGTGGCGGCGGGCACCGAGGAGAAGCCGTACCTGAAGGTGGACCCCGAGCTGGTGGTGACGGTGCTGGGCGACCTGGAGCAGCTGCTCTTCAGCCAGATGCTGGGTGAGTGCAGCCGCCGGGCTCGACGTCGGCGTGGGAGGGGGGTGAGGGAGGCGGCGGGCGGAGGCGTCGGGGCTCCTGACACCCCGTGGGGGACCCGCCAGTGGCCACCTCGGTGTCCTCAGCGAAGGGATGCTGAGGGGGAAGGACCCATCGGTCTCGGTGACCCCAGTCAGTCTTTGAATTACAGAATGGTTTGGATTGCAAGGGACCTCAAAGCTCATCTCGTTCCACCCTGCCGTTGCCAGGGACACCTTCCACTATCCCAGGTTGCTCCAAGCCCCGTCCAGCCTGGCCTTGGACACTTCCAGGGATGGAGCAGCCAAGCTTCTCTGGGCAACCTGTGACAGGGCCTCCCCACCCTCCCAGGGAAGAATTTCTTCCCAATACCCCATCTAATCCTGTCCTCTGTCAGTGTGAAGCCATTCCCCCTTGTCCTGTCACTCCATCCCTTGTCCAAGTCCTCTCCAGCTCTCTTGGAGCTCCTTTAGGCACTGGAAGTAGCTGTAAGGTCTCCCAGGAGCCTTCTCTTCTTCAGGCTGAACGCCCCCAGCTCTCCCAACCTGTCTTCATAGCAAGAGGGGTTCCAGCCCTTGGAGCATCTTCCAGGCATGCCGAGGGGGAAGGTGCTATCAGGGTCTGCACAGCCACCTCTTGCCTTGGCAGCATGGCAGTTCCTCCTCATGAGGAGCAGTGGCAGGTGGTGGTGGAGCTTGTCCTCCCCCACGTGTCTTGTTGGCTACCCCTTGTCTCGACACCCCCAAATACGATGGAGGTTGCCCGGCTGGGTGCCACAGCTGCTCCCCACCATCGGGGTGGGTCACCCCAGGGGTGACCTTGGGAGGCTGCTGGCGGAGGTGCCGTACTAAGGGTCTATGCTGCTGCCGTGCTTTGGGCAGATCCAGAGCTCCTCTGAGGTCTGGGGCTCTGGCAGAGGAGAGTCCTCCAAGGATGCTGCTGCAGGGTTTGTGTGAGCCGGTTTCAGCCTGTGGCTGCCTATGCCTTGCTGTCCTGGCACGTTTGATCCCTCAGCTTGTTGGTTTCCATGAGAACAGCGAGCGCTGGCCATGCCCCTGACCTTGGGAGCACAGTGGGCTGCGATGCTGGGTCTCGGTGGGGCTGAGCCCAGCCCTCGCCTTTCCCTCACGGCTGTGTGCTGATCTCTAGTAACCGTGGCCACCTCCGGAGCCCTCTGCCTCCCCCTGGCACCCTCTCCTCCCTGCGTCCTGACCATCAGTGCCTGTGGGCTCAGCTGGACAAGGACCACGGCTCCCAAGAGCTCTGTTTGGTCTGGCAAACGGGGGTGAGAAGGTGGCAAAGTAGCCCTGCACAGCCATTGTGGTGCTCCTGGTGCCCAGCTGTAAAGCCCTGGTGGTTAGTGATGGGGGGAGCAGCGGTACAGGCAGGGCTGGTCTGTCCAGTCCCTTGATGTTCCCTGCCTGGGACCCCCTTATAGGAAGCCAAGAGCTTCTCTGGCACTTGAGCTGGCTTGAGATGCCTTCTTCTCACTGCATAGTGAATAAACCTCTGCTTTGGGAAGAAAGGAGAGAGATTTACTCCAGCTGGGGCTTGGGGGGGCGGTTTGGAGATGTGGAGTGAGCTGGAGGAAGTGCTGGAGCCAGGGACCTGTAAAGCTGCTCTTGCTGAGTCTGGTTCCCTGCAAACCCCTGACTGTTGCGTGAGCCTTCAGGGTATCACAGCCCCTGCTCCATCGCAGAGCTCTGGCACAGCAGGCACTGGCATGTGCTGACACACAGACATGGAACCTCCCAGCCCATCGCCCTTGGCCCCCTGGCTGTGCCCAGCCATGGGAGCAGCAGTGGTGGTGGGCACCCTGCCCATTCCCTGCCTGGCAGGGTCTGTCCCAGCTGCTGGAGGATCCTAGAGCTTGCAACTGGAAAGCCATAGAGTGAACTTGAGGCGTGGGCAGGCAGACCATGGGGATGAGCAGGTGGGACATGGGAGGTCAGCCTGGCTGCCCTGGTGGTTCCACAGCTGGGCTCACAGACATCCATCCCTGGCCCTAATGCCATGGGAGCACCAGATGCTGTGGGAGCAGGGCAGGATTGCGGGAGGATTTGTCACTTATGGGACTGACAGATTGCCCCTCACTGGTGTTGGGATGCCTGGGAGAATCTCACCGTCCCCTCCTGTGACACTCTGCTCTTAGGTGGAGGTTTCCTCAGCACCCCCAAGAAAAATTCTTGCAGGACTGGCCTACATGGGAGTAACTCCTAGTTTGTGGCAGTTGTGGGAGTACCAGAGGTCCACGACAGGGACTTGTGCACATGCTGAGGAAGACCGTGGGTTGTGGAAGTGCCTCCAGCACCCACTTTGGTTTCTGGGCTGTTGCCTGTGTCAGTCAGGGCTGACCTTGACCTTTGGAGGTGTTGAACATCCATTTGGACTGCAGTTACCACCTGAAGGCTTGGTTGGCTGACCTGTGAGGGCCAGACTCTGACAAATGGTCTTCTGAATCTCCTGCTGAGGATTTGCCAAAATAGATAATTTTACAAGACTGCCAGGCTTCCTGCAGGGGGACTGAGGGCTGTGTCCAGTGTTGGGTGGTGGCAGAGCCTGGGGTAGGCAGAGCAGGAGCTTCAGTCTGCTGAAACGTCACTTCCCTTTAGTGGGGCTGTACTTCCCACGTTCATGGAGTTGTGATGTTGAGTCACACCTACTTACCTAAAGCTGTGACAGCCCGTATGGTGGGGATACCAACAGGAGCTTGGGGATGCGGAGAGAAGGGAGCAATGTGACAGTGGTGATGGCTACTCCATCACTTTGTATGTGCTGGTGGCACAACCGTGACTGAGGATGCCCGAGCATGGACACATGCTGAGCCTCCAGTCCTGACCCCTTTGCTTTGTCTGGTGCAATCCAAGAGGATGAAACCTTCTCTGGGGGCAATAGTACCTTCCACAATCTAACTTTTTTGGGGAGGGGTAGTTCCTGCAGTGTAGATAGACCCACAAGGAGTGGGATCCCAGGAGAGTGGGCATCATGCCCTGTGTGGGCTGGTGAGGAGGGCCAGGAGAGGAGCTTTCTCCTGATGGCTAGAAGGTGCTTGGGAGGGAGGGAAGGAAGGTCTCTCTACTGTTTCTATCAATCCCTTTGGCAAGAGAAACGTCAACCTGAGCTGTTTGGCCATGTCTACTGGAGGGCACCCTGTCCAGAGTGGCACAGGAAAACTCACAAGCTCGGTTTGTGCTGAGAAGAGAGAGACAGGAATTGCAGGGATTTCCAGCCTCGGCAGATCTACTTGTCCTTGAACTACTGACCTGTATTGAGAAGCCTATGCTGCCTCTGAGCTCCTGGCCCTACCAGCCAAGGTGGCTTCCAGAGACCTTCCGTGTCTTTAGTCTCCACACCTGAGTTCTCATCTCCACCTCACGCTCCTCCTGCCAGAAGCACTCCACTACCAAGCCTCTCTTGGCCAAAAATACAGTTTGTTCAGTAGCGGCCAAGTGTTACCTCTCATTCAGTCACCGCCACTGCCTCATCTGTTTGATGGCACCGAAGCCTTTGTAGCTGAACCGCGTTTAAAGCAGAGCAGCCTGCGCAAGCCAGGAGAGGTCACCGGGACGCAGCGACCACATGTGCTTTGTAGAGGCTATTTCCATCCTCCAAATTATACATTTCGCTTCAACCAAAGACTGAGGCTTCTCATAAAAGCTGGCTGGCAGCTGGGGTTGCTAATTACACCAGCGCCCAACCACAGGATGAAGGGGGCGGAGGACGCGTGGCCGGCGTGGTGGCAGAGCTGGCTGTGCAGAGCTTGCCGTGCCCGTCTCTGTGTGCGATGGATGGGAGTGTGCAAGGGCACGTCCGGGCTGTGTGTGCGGTGCCCAGCGTGATGGGCACTTATCTAGAGCTCCCCAGAGCACCTCCGAGAGCCTGCAGCTGCTTTCTGCAGCTATTTCCTTGTCCATCTCCTGCTGGATGTGGTGCCTCTTAAGTGGCTGCTAATTCGCATCAGCGAATAAGAGGTCGGTGTTGCGTGGGCCGGAGCCCAGGCGGACACGCGTGATCCCGGGGGAGATGGTGTTCCCCGAAATGCTCGCTGCAGGAGTCTGCAGCCCTGCCAAACTCTGCAGGTGCAGCTATAACCCATCTCAGTCCTGCAGCCCTTGGGTGGGCCATGCCACCCTTCCCCAGGTGGCACAGCAGGGATGTCCTCGCTGGGCAGCACATGCCTGTGGGGACCTGGTACCCCTGTGGTGCCGACATGCAGGCAGGACAGCACCCAGCTGTGCTTGTACTGGTGCTGGCTGGGCAGGTGGGTGGTGGGGAGGACAGCCAAGGGCTGGGACAGGCAGATGGGCTCCATGGCAGGCGGGAGCTTCACATCTCACTGTGGTCACTTTAAAAAAATACCACAGCACAGGAAAGACACTTGGCTGGTGTCTGACACATCCTGCGTGAGGATGTTCCCGACCCCGGTGAAGATGGTTACCAAGGTATTCCGTCTTGATGCCCTCCCACCCTTGCTGGGAGGCGCATGGTGTGGGGTTAAAGGAGCACCTCTGCCCCACTGTGTTCCTCCCTCTGCCCCATGGTGTTCCTGACAGTTTAATTAAGCACTAATGGACCTGTGGCAGTGCTGTGCAGCAGTAGCCAGGCTCCCTGGCAGGAGACCATGCGGAGATCAGAGACCAAGTAGCTCTTCACAGTGATGGGAGTGGGTTATTGCCTCATAAAGTGCTGTAGCTGCCCTGGTACTGCCAATGCTGTTCCTCTCTTACGACCCCTGTGTGACAGCGTCTGTGTGATGAGGTTGTTGGGATGGGGATTGATTTCCTTCTGCCTACAGAGCTGGACTCCCACCTTCAGGGTGGGGGTAAGGAGAAAGGGGAGAGGTACATGGTCATGTTGCTGCTTCCAGCCTGCTCCCAGGAGCTGGCAGTGAGTAGTAGATATCTCCTCTCTCCAGCTGAGATGGCTGCAGTGACTGGAGAGGTCTGGAAATGTGACCTGAGGGTCCCAGAGCTTCTGCTGAAGCT